TGTGGTTATCTGGGAAATTATTTGTTTTGAATTTTTCTAGAGTCTCATTCATCTGTTCAAAGGGAAGCACAGTACTTCTTGTGCTATTAGTTCAGAGTGTCCAGGTGGTTAACTATCAAACTTTTCCACCTTTTCTCCCCCAGAATTTGCCTTTGGTGAGCTGGAAGTCTGTGTTTGTGACTCTCATTTCTATTTTTGTTGTTGGTACTGTCCTTGCTTAAATTCCTGGGTTAATACTTTGATCTTCTAGACATAGCTGGTCTTTAGGTTTTGGGCTTCTAATTAATCTGAAACACTCTCATTTTCATAATACTAAGAAGGACAGCTGATTAGATCAAACACAACACCTTAGCCCAAGTGATACAATCAGCAAGAACAATAGCATTGAACACTGTTTAGAATATGCCAATTTGTGGCAGTTATTAATCTATCACTTTTAACCATGTGAATTAAATAGAAACTGAGGACCAGCCCAAAATATGTTTATAGTGAATAAACTCTTCAACATAGCAACTTCACCATTTGGGATGGGGCCTTGGAAGGAACTGGGGAGGGAGGGATAGCTAGGTAGGGTAGGGAAAGGTTAGAAGTGAGGCCAGAGGGCACAGGAAGATAACACAACTCTAGTAAGCTGTTGAAGAGAAGGGGAGAAGCAAGAACAAAAGAACATATACAGAACAGAACAAACTCACAGCAATAGGGAGGCTATAAACTGTATTCACTTCCTTCTAAAACTAATGACATAGTCTTTGTAAATAGGGAAGGGTGAAGGGGGTGAAGGGCGGGTAGGGGTAGGGGAAAAAAACAAGAACCAAGACATATCACGTAGAGGTACAAGATCCCAATGATAAATGGAACTGTATTATTTGCTTTAAATGTACCAATAAACTTAGTGGGGGAAATAAAAATAAAATAAAACTAATGACAATCAGGAAAAAAAGAAGAAAAGAAAAAGAAGTTCGAATTAGGACAGGAACAGGAACAAAAAGGGAGAGAAACAAAGAACAAAGTGGGAGCGAGAGTGGAGGGGCTCCTCAGTTCCTCTGTGCTGAAGGGGCGGGGTCACTGGACAGCCCTGCATTGCTGGGCTCCTCGGCTCCTCTGCCTCCTGTGCAATCAGTCTGATGTTTTATCTTGGTTTCCCCCACCCCCTCAATCTGTCTGGGAGTCCCTGCCCTTCACCTAGCTCCCTTGGCCAGGATGAGGGAGTCATGGGCTTGGTGAAGCTGCCCTCCTCTTCTCCCTAACACTATAACCCTAGTGGGGGAGAAGGGATGGGTGTTACTTGTGGTTGAGTTTGTTTGCTGTTTGTCTGTTTTAATTCAATTTTTAAAAAATTCAACTTGGAATCAGAAAAAAAAAAAAAGAGTCAAATGTTAGCTGGGCATGGTGGCACACATCTGTAGTCCCAGCACTCAAGAGGCTGAGGTAGGAGGACTGCCATGAGTTTGAGGCCTGCCTGGACTACACAGTGAATTTAAAGCCACTGAACTATATAGTGAGACCTTGTCTCAAACAAACAAAAACTCAAACCAAAGAAGCAAATGTTAAGAAGCTATTTCCAGTTCATGCTTCATTCTTATTTATGCTATTTTCAACTCAATTTCAAGTAAATAAGGTGCATCCTCTTTGTTGCAAAGGTTGGTGGGTTGTTGAGACAAAATCAATTGGTAAAATTAGTAGATGAAAAAAAAATTTTTTTGGTACCGGGGATTGAACTCAGGTCCTTGTGCTTGTGAAGCAGGTGGCAGAAGCACTGAGCTAAATCCCTGGCCCCTGTAGACAAAATTTGAAGAGCAACAAAACATTTACCATCTCTAAGTGTTGCACCACAAGATATTAATGAGCAAGGGAAGAATAACAAAGAAACCCAGCAGACATTGTCATAACCAAGTAATCAAAGCTAGTATGAGATAATGAGATTATATTATTTTAGTGACATTTCTGCCAAAATCCTATTCCATTGAGGCTTCAGACCCACAAAAGTTGAAGGACATCCTATAAAACACTCAAGCACTGTACTTCCCAAGTGTCAAGGTCATGAAAGATGAGCTGTCAGATGGGAGGAGACCAAGAAAATGTGGCAGCCCTGTGCGGTATTATGGGAGGAACACTGGTGAAAGTCAAACAGGATTTGAATTTAAAGGCACAGTACCAGTATACACTTCCAGGCTTTAGCAACTGCATTACAGCTGGACAGAATGTTAACATTAGGAGAAGCCAAAGGAAGGGATACAGAGATTCTGTTTTTATGTTACATCTACAATTCAAAATAAGAGGTTAAGAAAAGTGGCTTAAAAAGAGATACTAACTGTCATCAGATTTAATCCTCAGCATAGAATCCTAAGAATTATACATGGAGAAATTTAGCATTCTGTGATTGTTTTAGTCCTTTATTATTATTATTTTTGAAGCCCATTTTCTATTACTAAGAACAGAATACCTGAGCCTGATGTGTTGTCTTTAGAGCAAAAGTTTATTTTGGGTCATGATTTCAAAGGTTTCAGCTGATAGCCAGCCCCACTGCTTTTAGGCCTGTGGTGTGGCAGAAACACCATGATGGGAACATGTGGTAGAGAAAAGCTGCTCACTTCATAGCAGCTGGCAGCAGAGAAAGCAAGAGAGAGCAAAGGGGATGAGAAGGTAAGAGGGAGTAAGCTGTGAGGGGGAGCAAGAGCAGGAGAGTAAGTATGATCCTCACTGCCTTCCTCCTTTTCTCCTGTTTTCATTCCATCTCGGGCCCCAGCCTATTGTATGGTTCCACCACACTCAGGGTGGGTCTTCCCCTTTAGTTTACTGTGCCACATGCCAATTACCTCTGAAAACATCCTCACAGATACACCCATAAGTTTGCTTTACTACTTTACTACTTCCTAGACATTTCTCCAACTAATCAAGTTGACAACCATCAATGTGAAGCCAAATCGCATTTAACCTCCAAATCATACTTAATCTCCACATAAACACAAAAAGAAGCTCATTATTCCACTAAACACAACTATCCTGCATACAACTAAAAATGCACTAATTATTTTCCCCAAGTCTCAACAGCCTAAGTCCAAAGTTTCCTCTGAGATGCAAGGCAAATCTCAGCTGTATTAGTCCCTGTAAAAATATATTCTTTCAAAGTTACATATTTTCTACAAAGGCAGAGGGTAAGCATTCCCATTCCAAAAGAGAAAAAGAAATGGGGCACGGAAAGGAGGGATGGAACTGGGTGTTGTGGCACACCTATAATTCCAGCACTCTGCGAGGCTGAAGTAGGAGGGTCCCAAGTTTGAACTCAGGCTGGGCAAATTCACAACTTAGCAAGACCCTGTTTCAAAACAAAAAGGACTAGGAATATAGCTTAATGCATGGGTCCCTCGTACTGGCAGGAAAAAAGCATGGATAGAACCAAAGCAAGACCAAAAGCCAAAGGGGTAATCATTAAATGTGTAGCTCCACGTCTGGTATCTGGGGCATGCAGTGGTACGTGAACTCCAAAGGGCTCTAGCAGCCCCGCCTGTACGGCCTGGCTAGTTGCTGCCCATATAGACCTCTCAGGCTAGCTCTGCTCACTGCCTGCAGCATTCCTCGGAGGACACTGCATGTTCCTGGTATCTCTAACTTCCTTGGGTCTCCACTGCAGCTTTTATTTCACTCTCTCAGCTGTCCACGTTACCCTCTCAGAAGCTACATGCAGGGACTCTGATCTTGTCACATACTGCCTGGCCCCTCAGATCTCCTTCTGAAATCTGCGTGAAATACCTGAAATAATTAAGTTATAAAGAGAAAGGGTTTGTTCTACATCAGTTTTGCAGGTCCCACTCTGTAAGCTGAGATCATTGTTCTGGGGCTGTGCTGAGGCAACACATCATGGTGGGAGCATGTGGCAGAGCAAAAGTATTTACCTCTTGTCCAAAAGCAAAAGAAGGGAAAAAGGGGCTGGTGTCCCACATCCCCTTCATGGCATGACCCCAATAACCTAAACACCTTATTAGGCCTCCTTTTTTTTTTTTTTTTTTTTGGTACCAGGGATTGAACTTGTGACCTTGTGCTTGCAAGGCAGGTGGCGGCACTACTAAGCTGAATCCCCAACCCATTAGGCCTCATCTCTTAAAGGATCAATTTCCAATAGCACTGTTGGGGACAAAGTCTTTATATACACGGGCCTTGGGGAATATTCAAGATCCAAACTGTAGCAAGCTTCACTCACCAACATCATTAACAATGACAATCAAATGTCCACAAGTTCCAGAGCAGAAAACCATACTCAAACCATAGCAATAACTGTCCAATATCCTGAACAGATTCTCCAGATCGTCTATTCTGAAATCACCAGGATGACTAGGTGACAGAAGGTCAGAAAGCCCTTGACTAGGCTCAGACACAAAGGACAACTCAAGACCTGGACTTTTTCTGTCTCTCCCACTCCATATGAGAAGCTTCAAATCACAAGACCAGACATCATCACAAGGTAGCAGTCTTTTGGGTCTGGGGATCCATACAAGTTTGGCACAGACTCTCCTTGCCCACACTGTCATGACAGCCCTCAATCTATCTTAAAAGAAATACAGTATTTTCAGAAAGAAGCCCCAAAACTGACAGAAAAACTAATCAGTTTCTAACCCTTTGTGCTATCCTTGCAGTGAATTTTACTATACATTGGAAATCCAGATCACACATTTCTTCCTGTGACATGAGTGCAGAACTAACATTGGGCTCACACTTGCCGAGTGTGACCTGACCCCCACAGGCTGGTATCCTTCCCACTCCAATTGGATGACCAATGCAGACCTTTTAGGTTACGCCTGCATGTATGCCTCTGGATACCTTCCTCCCAGACAGATACACCTTCCAGTGTCTACAGGACTGAGCTATTTCCTCAAGTTGAATAAACACATAGCTATGGCCACTCTGTGGACCATCAAGTCCAGAAACTAATTTTGAGAAGTCTAAGATCACTATTTTTTTTTTTTTTTTTTTGGTACCAGTGATCAAACTTGCAAGGCAGACATGGGGCCACTGAGCTAAATCCCCAGGCCCCAAGATCACCATTGACAGAGCCCAGACAGGGACACTACCAGCTCAAATGAGCCCACCCACCATCTTAAAGAAATGAAGGTTTCATTTTACTTAGGTCACAGAGGACACAGGAAGGTCACAAGCAGTCTCCCAAGGTCATGTCAGCAGATTACAGAAGACACATTAGCAAGCCACAGGCTGGCCATTTTTCCAACCCACCACCTCAAATGCCCACAAAAAAATGCCCCGGTTTAGTAATAAACCTTCTTGGGCTGTTGAGTTTGTATCCCTTCTTTCCTGCTCAACTACAGGAGCGTAACTATCATATCACTGAGAGCTGCTGTCATTTTAGCCATGCCACAGCCATGCACCACGTGACGATATTTTAGTCAACCGTGGGCCCCACAGGTGATTGCCTAGTATCACTGTAGCCATCAACACAAGCTTGCCCAAGTACACTCTGATGCTACACGACAAAGTCACCCAACACATTTTTCTACATGTGTTTCCATTGGTCAAAAATGTGGAGGTGTAATAGGAAGTATAACACCACATAGTCAACAAGTTACAAAAATAGATATTTATTGTGTTTCGATGAGCTTGTATTACACAGAGACCTAGTCGAAATACACTTAAGTCTTTGTGCTAAATATAAATTAAATGAACACTGAAAAACTATAAACGAATTGGGAAGACTGCCAGAAAATTCTTCCAAGCCAGGACTCTTCATTAAATCTGTCCAATGGGATGATACCACTGGCAGCCACATGTAAAAGTTGAAAGCCACAATACAGGAGAAAGTGACTAAGAATGAAGCCATGGTGGGTTTCATGGTCGACAATGAGTTGGTCGATGAGATGCCTCCACAGGGGCATCTGTGTGTACAGCCAAGGGCTGCCCCTTACTAAGTCACAGGCTAACTCCATAGCAATGCAGGGGAACGCACCCATAAGATGAGCCACACTGACTCAGAACACAAATTCCAGAGGACCTAGTATCAAGGAGAACATCCACTTCACCCCAAAGCCTTTACATTTACAGAGCCCTAACTTAAAAGCAGATGACCAAAACCGACTGGATGGCAGTACATCCTCAATCTTCACAAATACAGCAAAACATACACTTAAACACAAAGCCCAAGAAACTTGCTGCATTTCAAAAGGGAAGGTCAGATGCTGACCCCAAGAGAGGACAGGTTACTGCAGCCCGGACACTGAGTCCTTCATCAGTTCTGAGACCGCACACCTGAGGCACGAGAGCCATGAGCTCCTGAGTCTCCCTCACGGAGCTGTCCAGTCTCCACTGCCTTCCTCAGGCAGGTGGTTTGGCAGCTATGGAATGTGCTAAGAACCACACATGCCCTGAGCCCCACACAGGGCACAGCCTGGCCTAGCAGTTTCCATCCCACGCCAGGACCTGGCTGTATGCCTACAGTCCAGAAACTCAGCAGCAGTCCTTCCTCTCGTGGGGCTGGAGGACAGCCTGCGCACTGCGACCACCATTTCCCAGAAAGTGCACATGGAAACAAATCCCATGGCGTCAGTTACGAGATTCAGAGGCAGTGGGGCTGCGGACTGTGGACATGAGGTGCGACTTGTAGGTCTTGCTTAAACCTGTCATCCAGAATTTCAGCAGCTTGACATTGTCCTCCTCCGATGCACCGAGGACGCTCAGTAGCTTCTGCGTGTCTTCCTTGGGCCGACTGTCCACCTTGGTGAATTTAAAGAGGACCTTCACTTTGCTGCAGAAAACCAAAAACACACACTCAGCCAATAGCCCAAGTACCAGAGCTCAAGGGGCCAAAATGGCACCTAGACCAGTGGGGGCACTGCAGGCCCAGCTGGGACTCCCACACTCAGAGGCGGAAGCAACTCAGCACAGGAGCACACCAAGAATAAGCTCATCCTGTCAACACAGCAAGAAGACAGCGCTGTACACCTACAGCTCCCACGACTCAGGAGGCTGATGCAGGAGGATTGTTTGAGCACAGGAATCTGAGGTCACTCTGGGTAACACAGTGAGATCCACTTCAAAAAAAAAAAAAAAAAGGAATGGGAAGACCTGTCCTTAAATTCAAGGAAAAACAAATAAGGAATGGGAAGACCTGTCCTTAAATTCAAGGAAAAACAAATCACTCCTGAGTATCACTGCATTAGCTGAAATCAGGGCATCTGGTTAATATGAAAAAAAAAAATTACTAAAAGCAAGGCAGAAGAAAACAAAATAATTTGCTTAAAAAAAAAAGAGAGCATATGCTGGGGGTATGACTTGGTGGTACAGTATTTTGCCAGCATGCACAAGGCCCTGGGATTGATCCCAAGCACCGCAAAGAAACAAAAGAGCAACAGGCAACACATGTCATCTCGCTTTTAAAAGTTAACTAAGCAGTAAAGTAACAAAACTTCAGTTAAGAACCTGCTCTGCACGCTGGGCATCCTTCCTTGCCCCCACCAGTTGCTAGAGACAGAAGCTGCCCCTACCTAGAGCAGGAGACACCGATGCTTCCCAGGTTCACCAAGATGGTTAAACGGCAGGGCTGGTGACTGAACCCCCACTCAAAACCACTTCTCTCACCAGCCCCCCACAGCCAAATCTGGCCTTTTTCAGAACCAGTTCCCGCTTTTCCTCAGCAAATCTGCTGTCATGGGCAGCTCCATCCCCCCTGGGCAGGAAGCCTGGACAACTGGTGCTTACTTCATCCACTCCTCCTTGAGGCAGACGAGGCACTGGTCCACCACGTCCACAGACAGGTTCTGGTTGGTCAGGGCTGCTTCAATCTTATTCAGGATGGTGGGGCCAACTAGAGACAGGGGGAGGAGGCAAAGGGGCTTCAGTGCCGGGGTGAAGAGGGTGCCCTGCCTGCTCTGATGGAAGGCAGCCCCGGCAACAGCCCTCACCTCTGTCTGCAGACACTGGGCTCCCGCTCGTCACCACAAAGTCGTACTTGCTGAGAGACTGGTCGTCCTCACACCCGACAGGATGGAGGGCAGAGCGCGTGGCTGTGTGGACCTCCACAATGACTGCGAACTCTGTAGCAAGGCAAAAGTACAGCACCCTCCTTTCACTTCTAATAAGCCCACACCACATCACTGCACACCAGCTAGGAGCCACCGCCAGGCAGAGGTCTCCTGAAAGAGACACTCTTAGGCGGAAAACTTCTGCCATGTGAAAACAGAGCTGATGGACAGCTTCTGCCCCAGTTTAACCAATCAATTTTTAATATTATAATATAAAATTACCATACATCTGTTCCTTCATACTAAGTATGATGGCAGTCTTGTCACCCCGTTGTGTAACTGCAAAACAGACTCTGAGAAGTTCATAATTCAGCCGAGGTCATACAGCCAGCAATATTAGGAATTTCAAGGCCATCTCTGGAACTCTAATACTACTCAGATTACGGGCCCTGCTTTCCGCCAGTTCTCCTGCAGCAGGTAGCCCTGAGCATGGTCCCTCCGCCCCCACTGACATGCACCAGAGCCACTGTCCTGCCTAAAAGGCCAGGATTACATCCAGGCTGGCTCCTAAGCATCCCCAACCCAAGGACAAAGGGCTGATGCTCTGTGGTGCAGTCCAAGAGAGCAGGCCCCAACTGTATTTGCAGTTGGCACATGTGAAGAGAGAAAAACCAGCAGCGACCAGAAGTGGGGAGGAGACCACCAAGAAAAGGCAGCCAGTGACACTCCTGGATCACAACCTCACTGCTCCTGTCTAAGCCCAGCCCAGTCTTAGTCTGAGGTAGGAAGAGGAGCTCCAGCTGCCTATTTCTTCTGTCACCCATGGATCCTCTACCCCCAGGACCAGGACCTGCTACCCTCTGAGAACCACAGCCCCTGCAAGCCACCCCCACCCATTCTGACGGCAGACAATGGAGGCCCAAAGCCACTAGGAAAACTGGTTCTACACAAAGACAGCAGGCCGTATCCCAGAATCCACGCCTGAGATTCAGCTCCAACTCAGCTGAGATGTGGGACCCTCCCAAGACATCCTGCAGTGGGCAGCGCGCACCTGAGGAGAGCACGTGGGCGGGGATCTGCACGTGCGGGCCGAGTCCCAGGAAGTTGCACCGGTAGGCCTCCTCATACTGGCTGCTGTACGGGATGATGCGGACGCAGCCTACAGGCAGCATGGTCTGCAGAGAATACAGTTCAGAACCCAGCCTTGCAAGGAGCCTACCCCACACACCCTCTGTAGCCCTTGCTCTCAAGGTCATCTCCCACCACACGGTTCTGGCTCCTCTCCTCACCACTGGTCACACACTTAACCCATTCTGCATCTTGCTTTGCAGTGTGAACTGGTTTGTTACTTTGCCTTCTTGGACGTTTGTCTCTTCCCCTCCCTCAAAGAGCTGATGAGCTTTTTGAGATGGGGTCCTATTCCTTTCTATATTCATAGGCCTATAGAGGCAGCAGGCATGGACACACCTTCCGGGACTCAGAACTCCAGGCTGCTGCCTAGGGCACCGCGCCCACCATCCAGCACTGCCCATCAAGAAGAACGTCATGCAGAGGGCATGAGCCAGACTCATACCCATGGCTTCTTAGTGGACTGAAGGCTTAGGGAGGAGCAGGAAGGGCAGCTGTCTATCGGGACAGCCTAACTGACTGCCACTTATAACAGGATGAGAGGGGCTGGGGGATTTAGCTCAGTAGTGCCATGCCTGCCTCGAAAACACAAGGTCCTGGCTTTGATCTCTGATACTGGGGGAAGAAAAAAAAAAGATGAGAAGACGCTGGTCTTGGACTCTGACACGGTCAGGTCACAGGCTCTGCACTGAGTGGCAAATGTGTCACGGTGCCTATAGTCAGCACCAGGCCCAGTTGGCTCATACAACCAATGAGAAACAGGCGCTCTTACCCTAAGAACTTCAAATGCTGACTGGACCAGGTCCACATCTCTGCTTTTCCAGATTACCTGGTTCCCCATGAGAACGTGCCAGGCCAACATGCGGAATGACGGGGCGCCCAGGACCTGAAACAACAAACAGTGCTTTCTGCACATTAACAGAAGCCATCTCTCACTTTCTTCTGAAGGAAGTTACTTTCTTCATTTGGAAATTTTATATGGCAAAGGAGTGTAGGGTCAGAAAAGAGAAAGACATTTCTCAGGGAACTGAGCAACCTCCCTGAGGCTGACAGGGGATGAAGGAAGTCCCCAGATCTACACCTAAAGGCTGGATTCCAAAGCTCTTGCACCCTTAAGAGCTTTTCCCCTGAACTTAACTTTTAAAATTTGAAGTAACTTTTTCAACAGTTACCTGCTCTATCGACATGTTGTACTTTGCTGAGCCGTTTGAAGTGAGCCGTAGATAGCACAACACAACAGTACCCAAGACCACCGCAGGTTGCACCCCACAACCTGGCCCATGACACCAGAACATGACAGCAGTCACATGCTGCACTGTGCTCCTTTACAACTGCAGTTCTTTTGATCTTGTGCCAATACAGGGTCAAGATTGCTTTCACTTGTCAGGTCCTTACTCCTAAACAGCTCCTCCTCCCTTTCCTCTTACTCCCAAGATGCCGACATTTAAAAAAAAAAACATGCCTTCTAAGAACCCAAACATGACTCTGGAAAAAACAACAAACAAACAAACAAACAGAGAGGGGACGGATCACACATCTTACCAAACTTCACCAACTTCAAAGTACCCCGATCCCTGGTGGAATTCAAGATTCCTTCTACTATCAACCTATGCAAACACTCAAAGCATTTCAGCCAAAGATACTGTGGATGGAAGGAGCATTTTTTCCATCCACAACCCCAGGGAGTCATCTGATATTAAATCATTCTTATTTGCTCCATTTTCCAAAACAGAAATAAAATTAGTGCTCATTATAAAAGTGAATACAGAAAATATTATACAAGGGACTGGTTCCCATAAACAAGCAAGACTGCCCTGTTCTGACCTAACACATCACTGCTGTCAGACTACCTGTTATGTACACATGTGACATACGCACCCATCACTGGTGCCATACTCCTGGCCTGCTCTCTTGGACTTAACACCCTTTTATTTTATTTTATGTATTTATTTAATTATTTTTTGGTACTGGGGATTAAACCTGAGTCCTTACGCCTGCAATTAATACCCTTTTATGTTTGGACATTCAAATTGTTTCTAGTTTTTTTATAAAAAATAACCACTGCTTTCAAATGCAGAGTCTTAGGTACACACAAACTAGTAAACAGTGCTATTCAAACCCTTCAGAAGGTTCTAGAAAGTCAGATGCGGTGGCACACGCCCATAACCTTAGCACTTGGGAGAATGAGGCAAGAGAATCACCATGTGTTTGAGGCCAGCCTAGGCTACTGAGTTCAAGGTCAGCCTTGACTATACAGTGAGACCATGTCTAAAAAGAACAACAATAAGCCAGGCGTGGTGGCGCACGCCTGTAATCCCAGCACTCAGGAGGCTGAGGCAGGAGGATCGCTGTGAGTTGAGTCCAGCCTGGGCTACATAGTGAGTTCCATCCAGGTCAATCTCAACTACACAGTGAGACCCTGTCTCAAAACAAAACAAAACAAAACAACAACAGTAAGAGGTTCTTCAAGAATATCAAGATTAGGAACCATAGGAAGCTACCTATCCAGGCCTTTGTCTGAACACAGATCCTATATTGTCACTAAAAGGGGAACACAAAGCCAGGAATGGTGGCCATGCCTGTAAACCCAGGACTCTGGGAAACTGAGATAAGAGTTCAAGCCCAGCTTGGCCAACTTAGCAAGACTCTGTTTCAAAATAAAATATAACACAATGAAGGTAATTATGATGTTATTGCAAACATGCACTAATATAAAATGAATTTTGAATTTTTTGGGGGGTTTGTTTTGGTTTTTTAAGACAGGGCCTCTTACATAGTTCAGGCTGGCTCGAACTCACAGTGATCCTGCTGTCCCAGCCTCCGAGTGCTAGGATTACCAGGTGTGTGTCACCATGACCAGCTACAGAATAAATACATTTTTAAAATCTGAGGATGTCATTCAATGGGAAGGTTGTGGGTTCAATCCCTAGTACTGAATGAATAAATAAAAATCAAAGGAGTGCAGTGGCCCTGTAGCTAAATACCCCGGATGCTCACACATCTTCAACTACACGCTAAGAAGGTTCCTGGCCACTCCCTAGGAAGAAGTCAGACCCAGTGGGCTGTTCTCCTGGTTTCTGATGGGAGGGAGCTCCAGCTCCTGCTGCGTACCTGTCTCATGTGCCGCAGGGATTTGAACACAGACAGCTTCCGGGGCTGCCAACTTCCACAGTCTGACAGTAAGGACGAATCTGTCAGACATTTGGTCAGCTCCCGCCCTTCTGCACCCTCTGGCAATACAGGGGCCTTGTCCTCCTCTTCAGCCTCAGAGTTGTCCCAGCTTTCTGATTCCTCTTCTAAGTCTACGTGAGATGATAAGGATCGTTACAAAACAACTCTCTCCGAGTGTGACGGACCTGTTCCTTGACCACTGCAGGCCCAAGCATTTCGTGGTTGCACCCACCAATCACTAGTGATTCAGTGGGAGCACTGAGAGGGTAGAAAGGGCTTCAGGGCTGTTCACATGGCTTGGGTATCACACTATGTTTTAGATGACTTACTAAAAGTTGTCTCCTCATTGGTGGAAAACCCAAAAACACTGAGAATGCAGCACTGCCTGTTTACTCAGTATGTGCTCTACTACCTGCTCTCCCAGGGTTAGTTAGCCCTCTGAAGTCAAACACTACCACCCCTATTTCACAGGTGAAAATAGAAAGATTTGTTTTAGAGTCTGCATTAACAGTCTTCACACATAATTGTATCCCTGCTTTTTGTGAGAGTAAGGCCTGAGGGGAAGGTTATGTGTAACAGAGCCAGGTCTGTGTGATTTCAAAGTATGCACTGAGACTGTGCTCTGCTCCCTCATGCCCAGCATGACCTAGACCACAGAGCACCTGGCATCTCACACCCTTGAAACCTGACTTCTCTCTGCAAATAGACCTCAAGAGCCTGGCCTGGCCACCTGCACTGGCCTCAAAGTCTGTGACTGGCACAAGAATGAATGGTGCCAGGGCCACGGGAGACATGGGCACAGGAGGGTGAGTGTGAAGCTGTTTCCTGAGCATGCTGTGCTCTTGCTGAGACCTCACTCCCAACCCGCCCCACTTGGGGGAGCTTGCTAAAGCGTGTGCAGGTCAAGTACAAGAACTCCAAAGGGTTAGAAGGCCCATTCTTTGCAAACTAAAGCACAAGATGCATTGTTAGTAACAAACTGTGCCCAACACACATCCCAGGGTTCCTGGGAAGTGAGCCTGGCACACAAGACTCTGAATCCCAGGTGTGGAGATTCCGACCATGAACCTGGGGAGGCAAGGATCTTGGGAGACTGGGGGACAACTGCCCTTGTTGGAAAGCTTGGGCCCAACTGACACACCACTTTTTTTGTTCTGAGCAAACAAGAGACTGTCTTCCAGGGCAAGCTGTTGGCTATCACTGTAAGATATGGGAAGGGAAATCTGCAGTCGGTTCTCTCTTGAGGAATCCTTAATCGTGGACTCTGCTCATCTATCTGGGGAATGAATTATTTCAAGACACCATCAAGGAAAGTGAGACAGGAAGGCACAACAAGAACATAAAGAGCAACGGGCCAGCTCTTAGGAAGGCTCATCACCGTCTTTCTCAGAGCCACTCACTTTATATCAGCAACTCCTGCCTGGAAGCCAGGAGCTGGGTGGCCTCCAGAACCACCTCAGGCAATCCCTGCCCCCAGCAGCACGCAGCCTCACCAGCGAGCTTCTCCATCTGCACCAAGGTGTCCTCTGTTGGCGCGCCCTCCAGGAGTTTCTCTGTCAGCCGGCTGCCACACGCTTTCAGGAGCCTACAGAACACAGCACCAGGTAAGAGGACTTTTTGCCAAAGGGAAGCCTGGAAACTGAATTTACAAAAAACATGGGCCTAAAAGAACAAGTTGGCTGGGCAGAGTGGCCCACACCTATGGCCCCGGTGACTCAGGAGGCTGAGGCAAAAGAACTGCTTGAGCCCAGCCTAGGTGACACAGTGAAAAACTGTCTTACAAAAACATCCTAGTTGCCACCACAAGGACACAGCCCGATCTGCAACGTAGGCCATTCTTCAAGACATGACTGAGGTCCTTTATGAAAGGGCAGGGGGAAAAGAAGGGCACAGGGAAGGCTTGAGGCTTGAACTGTTTGTTCTGATCCCAGTTTAAAAGTCATCATTGAGCTTGGAGGGTGTGGCTCAGAGGTAGAACACTTGTCCTGCATGCACAAGGCCCTGTGCTCACCTTTGAGACCAAAGGGAACACTGGACAGAACAATGGTATTATGGTTATACTTATACTTGAAATGACATGCTAAAATCTGTTTAAAAATATTTTAGCTGGGCGTGGTGGTGCACATCTGTAATCCTAGCACTCGAGAGGCTGAGGCAGGAGGATCACTGCAAGTTCAAAGCCAGCCTGGGTTACACAGTGAGTTCGAAGCCAGCCTCAATTACATAGTGAGATTCTGTCTCAAAATAAAATAAAATAAATAAAATCTAGAAAAGAGAACATGGTAAAATGCTAATAACTGCTAAAGCTGCATAACAGGTTCATTGCATTGTTTGTTCTACTTTGGATCTGTCTGAAATCTCTAAAATAGAAGTGATTTTTAAAATACAGGAGTACTGGACATGTGGCACATACCTGTAATCTTAGCACTTGGGAGGCTGAGGCAGAAGGGTTGGAAGGAGTTTGAGGCCATCCTGGGCCACATAGTAAGTTCAAGACTGGCCTGAGCTACATAGTGAGAACTTGCCTTAAGAGAAACTAACCAAGCAGGTGAATAAGTGGCTCGATATAACCAATGTCTACGGACGGACACACATCATTAGCTTGCCATGACAGTCAGGCAGCATCGTATGCAAGCCTGCTGGATACACAGTCCACTGCTAACTACGATGTCGATGTCGTTTTGTTTTGTTTGAGGCAGTGTCTCCCTGTAGTTCAGATGGCCTCAGACTCGCTGCAATCCTCCTGCCTGTGTCTCAAGTACTGGGATTACAGGCGTGCACCACCACACCCAGCTTGACTAAGAAAATGTCTTTATGTGGCAAGTGATTACTTATCAACACATCATATCGTACACCATTTAAAAATGTATACAAACTTCAGGAAAAGAAAAACTTGTATAAATATTTTAATACTAAACTTATTGAGAAATCATGAGATTTAATACAAGTTACCTTTGGCCTCTACAATTACTAGAGGTGTTCAAAGTGGTAGCCACTAGCCTCCAGACATTTAATATTTTTATCTTCCTGAAGTGTGTGTGTATATATATATATATTTTTGGTGGGCTCTCTATATATACATATATAGTAATGACTCAGTTCACGAATTATTTGTTTGCAAATAATTTAGTTCACAAACCAAAGTATTCAGCAAAACTTTGCTTTCATTCACAAACTCTGCAATGGGCCATCACTCCCAGAATCATGGAAGGAATTAGGTTCGTGAACATAGGTACCACAGTATATACGTACATAAGTGTGTGTATACAATATATATATA